TCTACATATGGCCCCTGACGCGCATCATCAAGAGTCTCGTGGAGGACTGCTTGGATCTAGGGATCTGGTTTCTTGTCCTTTGTGTTATTGAAAGCAGTCGTGAAGGCTTTGCCCACATGGGCGCTGTTGATGCCTGAGCCCTAGCCCTAAACCCTAAACCCCAACGCCCTAAACCCTAAACCCTAAACCCTAAACCCTAAACCCTAAGCCCTAAGCCCTATGCCCTAAACACGCAACAGAGTTTTACAGCGGGGGGCTGCCAGCAGAACCCCCGGTCGCCATCCTCGAAACTGTCATCCTTGTAGGAAGGGAACAACAACTGAGAGAACTGCGTTGGGGGTGTAAACTTCAGGGTTGTAAGGTGTGGGTTTAGGGTTTAGGGTTTAGGGTATAGGGTTGAGGGTAGGGAACGTAGAATTCAGAGCCACATCATGAGGGTATTGCCTAAACCCTAAACCCTAAACCCTAAACCCTAAACCCTAAACCCTAAACCCTAAACCCTAAACCCTAAACCCTAAACCAAAAACACGAGCCCAGCGTGTGACCTGTGCAGGACAAGGAGGCGCGGATCAACGAGGCATCCATGGGGCAGAGGGTCCAGGTACTTGGCGCTGCCGAACTCAGCCCTCAACCCAGAACACAAAACCCCAAAACCCCAAACACAAGACCCTAAACCCAATACCCCAAACCATAAAGTCCTAAACCCCTAAACCCTAGATCCTAAACCCTAAGCCTTCAACATCACAGCTGCATACAAGGTGCCACTCGATGCGAGCCTAAACTCCAACTTACTAGTGTCTGGGGTTTAGGGGTTAGGGTTGAAGGTTTTTGGTCCTTTAGTGGGAGATTAAAGACGCAGGGTTCAGGGTTTCGGACTGAAGGGTTTTAGCTCTAAGCCTTAAACCCTAAACCCTAAACCCTAAACCCCAAACCCCAAACCCCAAACCCCGAACCCCAAACCCTAAACCCTGAAATCAACCTGTAAACCCTAAACCCTAAACCCTAAACCCTAAACCCTAAACCCTAAACCCTAAACCCTAAACCCTAAACCCTAAACCCTAAACCCTAAACCCTAAACCCTAACCCTAACCCCGGACCCTAAACCTTTTTAACCCTAAATCCTCAAGCCCCTGTACTGTAATTTGAAATTATTCAAAAAACTCCAAAACTCGAAACTCCTCGAAACTTTGCGCGGACCTGAACCCTGAATAATTTCAATAAACCCTAAACCCCAAAAACCCTAAACCCTAAACCCTGAACCCTAAACCCCCGAGTTTGGAGGTAATGAAGATGATGGGCATGCCGGCCGAAGCCATCACCTTTGGATGGTATGTGACCTACGGGACGCCTTGGCTGCAGTCCTTAACCCTAAACCCTAAACCCTAAACCCTAAACCCTAAACCCTAAACCCTAAACCCAAAGGCCCCTAAACCCTTGTCGGTCACTGTGGCGGTTTGGATTCAGGTGAAACGGAACATCTGCGCGTGGCGCCGGGCTGGGTTCTCCCAAGTCATCTGGAGTTTTCGCAAGTTTGAAGCGATGAAGGCTGTGTCGTGAAGCCGGTTTTTTTCCGTCATCCCCAAATCGCGCAAACATGCATTGAAGTGCCAGAAAATAAGCGTGCAACACCTCCAAAGCCTGAGCCCCACAAATCCTAAAGCCCTACTAGGCTTAAACCCTAAACCCTAAACCCTAAACCCTAAACCCTAAACCCTAAACCCTAAACCCTAAACCCTAAACCCTAAACCCTAAACCCTAAACCCTAAACCCTAAACCCTAAACCCTAAACCCTAAAGCCTAAACCCTAAACCCTAAACTGCCCTACACCCTAAACCCCAGACTCAAGGCCTGGGCCGCCCCCCCTACGTTGGGGGGCGGCGCCTAAGCCCCTCGACCTCGATGGCGCAAGCTGACCCAGGTCTTCGCCTGCCTCCCACGTTCTGTTCGGGACCAGTACTGGTCCCTTTTTAAAGTCATTACCCTAAACCCGGAGCCCCAAGCTCCGTGCGGCCCGGCCTGGGCCCCCAGCGAGTGTGACAGCCGTGATGACGCCGTGGGCTCAGAATGCTGAAGGTTTAGGCCTTAGTGTGGTTGGTTTTTAGGGTTTAGGGTTTCCCTTGACCCTTCAAACCTAATGTAAGGCGGCAGGCCGTTCGACGCTTAGTAGTGTGACAGGTGGGACTGCGAGGTCTAGAGCGTAGCCCTTCGCCACTTGCCGCCCAATCAGGCAGAGCAGAAATTAGACCGCGGGGCGACACGGACACGGAGGCCCACACCCACCTTCAACTCATCCCTTTGCCGTGTTTGCAAGAGACATGGTGTGTCACTGTGGCAGACTCGGTGCTGAGGTCCGTTTTCTCCTCCACTACTTGCAATCCTCGGCCAGGTCCGGCGTCACCTTCCATATTTGTGAGAAGGGCAATTTAAACAGCGTGAGGCGCCAACCCTTGCCCCTGCCCAACATGCACATGCACAGGGAACGGCGGTTCTGCGCAGCAAGATGGTCAGGGTGATGGACAGGCTGGGTGCCGATAAGGGCAATCACTGGTGGGAATCTTCAGAACCCAGGCCAGCCCGCAGGCTGCCGCCCAATGGGCCGGAAACCAGGCTGTCAGGCGCAGGTGGGAATTCTTGCCAGAGTGACCAAGATTGGGTGGAACCAGAACCGGAGTGACTTCCAGGCCAATTAACGGGCTGCCGCCCCGTTTGCCGGCCGGAAGGGCTTGGGTTGTCCAATCACAGCCATCATAATATCTGGGCATCATACCAGGATATCTGGGCAAGGAGCTAAGGAGCCCACAGGAGTTTTAGAAGCAAGGGCTGTTAGTTGCCCAATGAAAAGATGACCTTGCCCCGATGGCCTTGCCCAATAAAAATATTACCTTGCCCAATAGAAAGTATGACCTTGTGCCCAGCAAAAGATTACCTTGCCGAATGGCCAGAAGGTCATATTTTGCTGGTCACGAGGTGTTTTTTGGACCGACGACCCTGCCCAATAATATTGTGACATTGCCAATGAAGAAAGTAACCTTGCCCAATAAAAAGATGAACGATGACCTTGCCCAATAACTCCCCAACATTTTACTGTATATAGGTAGGAGAGGTTTTTTTTCTTGAGTTTCTGGGAACTCTCTGAACCTGAATCCCTAGACCCAAGGATTCTCTGGATCATCCCCGCCGCCCTGATGACCATCATCTGCTGGGGATCTGCCGTTGGGCAAAGACTGCGAGCCTTAGACTTCGGAGTTCCGAGAAAAAGGGGGGGGTGGGAGTGGAAGGTTTAGGGGTTCAGGGGTTTTAGGGTTCAGGCCCAGTGTTTGGGGTTTAGAGTTTAGGATCTAAAGGTCTAGGGCTCCCAAGACGAGCTGAGGGCAGGCCCCAACAACAGGGTTTAGGTTGGGTCTACGGTTTCGGGTTTAGGGTTTAGGGTATGGTTTAGGGTATAGGGTATAGGGTTTAGGGTTTAGGGTTTAGGGTTTAGGGTTAAGGATGCAGGCCCAGGGTGTAGGGTTCAGGGACGTAGGCGTCATGACTCGAATCCAACCGCTCCGCTTCGGATGAAATGCAGCACAGAAGAAACCTCGTTGACAAATGGGTGGTTGTCAAAATGATGGTCCCTTTTTGGATCCCTATTTTAATACGGCACCTAATATTTAGGGTACCCTAAAAGGAATCATAATTTTGACATCCACCCAAATGTCAATCGCAACATCAACCAAAATAATCGGAAGAATCTCTTGTTGACACAATCATTCGACGATTCGAAGGACACAAGTAGTCGAAGAGACGGAAGAGTGCTGGAGTTACCGTGGATCTCCTTGACTTCTGTTTCGAAATCCGCTAAACCAGTCCTTCCTTGGAGGTTCAAGGTATGATAAGTACAGTTGTAATTAGTTAACATGTACCATGAACCTCCAAGTATCCCTGAGAGGTGTTTCAGCACAGCAACAAGTTCGTGGTCTTCATCTTCTTCTGGCTCTTTGGGGTTTGCGCCCGGGACACAGGGCCTGAACGTGGGATCCACTTGGGGCGGGAATCTACATCATTGGTTAGGGTTTGGGGTGTGGGCTTCAGGGTTTGGGCTGCAAGAAGGTAGAGGTAGATTCTTGGACATGTTCTCTCTTGTCAGACCTTTGCTACGTATTGGGTCGGATGGGGTTGTAGACAACCCTAAACCCTAAACCCTGCTGTAAACCCTCAACCCTCAACCCTCAACCCTCAACCCTCAACCCTCAACCCTCAACCCTCAACCCTCAACCCTCAACCCTCAACCCTCAACCCTCAACCCTCAACCCTCAACCCTCAACCCTAAACCCGAAACCAAGAGCACGGTGTTGCTGCGCCCCAGATTCTGCCCTTCAGAGCCTGATTCTTGCCCATCTTGTGGCTTAGTAGCTGAGTGAGTACACTTTTTATACACCCTATAAGTTTAGGGTTTAGGGTTTAGGGTTTAGGGTTTAGGGTTTAGGGTTTAGGGTTTAGGGTTTAGGGTTTAGGGTTTTGGGGCCTATGAACTCAGCAACTACGTGGTAGGCTTCGGAAGCCTTTTGAACATGACGTCTCCGGTTTTTTTGGTAGAGGCTGCCTGCCCTTGAGGATATCTTGAAAAGATCGGCTTTTGCGGAAGTTCAGGGCTTAGGGGTTTAGGGGTTTAGGGTTTAGGGTTTAGGGTTTAGGGTTTAGGGTTTAGGGTAGTTTGTCAGAGACTTGAAAAGGCCCTACACTTTTTACCCTAATCCCGTTCTTCTGCCGCAGACCTCGAACTCAGATTCAAGTGATGGCTTTCCGCGTCTTGCTCTTATCGGAAGAACATTGCGGCCACCTGGGCGCTCAGGAGTATACTGAGGGTTTGAATGTTTAGGGGTTTAGGGTAGGGCTTAGGATGTAGGGTTTAGGGTTTAGGTGTTTAGGGCCTAGGATGTAGGGTTAAGGGTTTAGGGCTCAGGGTTCAGGTCATCACCCTCTGCTCCTTCATCTCCGTCTTCTTTGCCACGGCGAAGATGGCGAGTGTTGTCGGAGCGCTGTGCCTTCGCCGACGGAAGGTGTTCCCTTGCTTGGGTTCAGGGTTTGAGGGGTGTGGGGGTTTGGGGCCTAAACCCAACGTACACCCAAGCCCCAAACCCTAAACGTCAGGGGATAGGGTTCAGAATTCCGTAAGCCTCGAACCCCTAAACCCTAAACCCTAACCCATGAACCCTAAACCCTCGACCCTAAACCCCAAACCTTGAACCCTAAACCCTCAACCCTAAACCCTCAACCCTCAACCCTTAACCCTGCTCCCCAAAGCCAGATCCGCTCAGATCTGAATATTCAGAGCCCCTTGCAGGATCTGCTTAAAGGAATGTGTAAGCGCACGTTTTCTTGCTGTAGGGCTTAGGGTTTAGGGTTCAGGGTTTAGGGTTTAGGGTTTAGGGTTTGGGGTTTAGGGTTTAGGGTTTAGGGTTTAGGGTTTAGGGTTTAGGGTTTTTAAGGATGGTGTTTTGCTCGTCCCCTCTTCGCACCCGTGCCCTGGCTGAGAGCGCCCAGGATCTTCTTCCTCCTCTACTTTCCCTACATGTTGCCCGGCCTTGGCTGGTTCCTGATGATGTTAGGGTTTAAAGGGCTAGGGCTTTAAAGGGCATAAAGGGCTTAAAGGGCTTAAAGGGTTCAAGGGGTTTAAAGGGTTTAAACGGTTTACAGCGTTTCGAGGGTTTGAAGGGTTCAAAGGGTTTAGAGTGCTTTAAGGGGTCTGAAGGGCTTACTTAAAAGAGTTTCAAGGGTTAAAGGGGGTTTAAAGGCTTTCAAGGGTTTCAACTGCTTAAAGGGTATAAAGGCGGTGTGGGTTCTAGGGTTGAGGCTTTAGCGTCGTAGGTCTTATATGGTTGCTGGAGTCCTTGGAGCACCCAACCCGACGCCTGAGCGCGAAACCGAATCCTTGAACAACCGAAGCCGGGTTTTGCGCAAGGGTTTAGGGTTTAGGGTTTAGGGTTTAGGGTTTAGGGTCTAGGGTTTCGGGGTTTAGGGGTTTGGGGCATTAGGCCCTTTGGGGCTTTGGGGGCGATGGCGGGGCCTCGCTGGCCTTCCCTAAGACCCTGTAAACCCTATACCCTATAACCCTAACTTTAAACCCTACGCCCTGAACCCTAAACCCTAAACCCTCAACACTAAGCCCTAAACCCTAGACCCTAAACCCTAAACCCTAAACCCTACATCCTACATCACTTAACCCCAAACTTTCCTATACCCAGTCAGCCTTACACTCTGCAACCCGAAGCCCTGTCTCCCAAACCTTCCTATTTCACCTGGGAGCCCTAAATCCCATGCCTCTAACCCTAAACCCTCTAACCCTGACCCTACACGACACCCGAAAACCCTGAACCCTGTAGACTAATCCCATACGCTAAGCCTCAAAACCTAAACCCTAAACCCGAGACCCTAGACCCTAGACCCTAAACCCTCAACCCTAAACCCTAAACCCTAAACTCTAAACCCTAAACCCTAAACCCTAAACCCTCAACCCTAAACCCTAAACCCTAAACCCTCAACCCTAAACCCCAAACCCTAAACCCCAAACCCTCAACCCCTCAGGTTCGTTACGGACGCGGGCGCCTCTGTCAACACCAAAGTCCTGGCGTCGCTGTCGCCGCCCGTGGCGCTGTCCATAGGCAAACAAAGGGCTCTTCGGGTTTAGGTTTAGGGTTTAAGGTTTGGGGTTTAGGGTTATGGAGGGTTTAGGGTTTAGGGTTTAGGGTTTAGGGTTTAGGGTTTAGGGTTTAGGGTTAGAGTGGTTGTGTCTAGGGGAAGTTACATGGTCCCTCAATCTTGAAAGGGCTCTGAAGTAGGCCCTTCCTTGGGTTTGTCGGGTATATAAGGGTTCCGCAACGAAGGGCCCACATTAGGCGACCATGCAACAACCCTAAGGTTGTTCAGGTTTTTTGGGTTGCTGTGTGTTTTGGGTTTATGTTTGTTAGGGTCTTTTGGGGTTTAGCGCGCTTACCTAAACCCTCAATCCGAAACGCCAAACCCTAAACTGTAAGCCCTAAACCCTAAACCCTAAACCCTAAACCCTAAACCCTAAACCCTAAACCCTAAACCCTAAACCCTAAACCCGAAACCCTAAACCCTAAACCCTACACCCTAAGTTGTTTCTGGGTTTCCTTGAGACAGGGGCTGGCCTCATTGCGCAGCTGGAGAGTGCTGGTCAAGGACCTTCCTGCCCGTTTAGGGCTTGGGTTTAGAGTTTGGGTTTAGGGTTTAGGGTTTAGGGTTTAGGGTTTAGGGTTTAGGGTTTAGGGTTTAGGGTTTAGGGTTTAGGGTTTAGGGTTTAGGGTTTAGGGTTTAGGGTTCGCTGCAAGACGCTCGGCTCACCACATTCTTTGGTTGGGGCCGGCTTCGCCCACCCAACCTAGTTTTGGTCAATTTATGGATTGTTGACCATTTTGGGCTTTAGGGTTTAGGGTTTCGGGTTTAGGGTTTCGGGTTTAGGGTTTAGGGTTTAGGGTTTAGGGTTGATAGAGGACCAAAGTACCCCTCCGCGCCCGCGTGTATGTCAGACCTGTTTTGCGGGCCCATCGGGGGTCTACAAGTTCAGGGGCCCCTCCTCCACAAACCCTAAGCTCCCGAAGCCCGAAACTCAGAAGTCTCGACGTCTTGATCATGCGTGGGAAAGCGGCGTGTGGTTCGAACGCCCCTAAACCTTTAAAAGCCCTACTGAACACCAGGACCCTAAAACCGTATGCAGTACGAATTTGAATTCTGAGTTGTCATTCTGTTTTTTTCTTTTGTGTGTGTGAGTGCGCGCTTTTCCCATCTTGGGCTGCGGCAGTTTGCCATCCCGGTACCCCTGGGCTCAGGGGGGGGGGGGTGTGGGGTTTCGGGTCTGCAGGAGTCCGCTTCTCCACGCTGAACGAGGCGATCGATAACTCCTCCATGGCCCAAGTGCTGGTGACTGGGCCACGTGCATCCTTCAACGCGACGGGGGAGGGGGGGGGGCAGGGTGTCTTAGGTTTGGAACCTAAGCCCCTAAACTGTTCAGAGGGGCGCGTGAGGGTGTAGGATTCAAGGGTGGGATCCTCGGGGTTAGTGGAAAACCCTGGTGAAGGCCTTCAGCCTCCCTCAACCCTTAGGGCTTAGGGTTTAGGTTTAGGGTTTAGGGTTTAGGGTTTAGGGTTTAGGGTTTAGGGTTTAGGGTTCAGGGTTTAGGGTTTAGGGTTAAGGGTTTAGGTTTTAGGGGTTTAGAGTCTAGGGGCCCTAAAGCCCTCAGCCTTGGAGCCCGAAACCCGTAGGGCCCTTTTAGGGTTTTATAGGCTCATTCTACAAGGAATTTGGCTTATTTTTGCTTCTGCAGGACTTATTTTTCAGCAGGGGAAAGGGGTTTGTTTGGGGTTCAGGGTTCCGGGTTTAAGGTTTAGGGTTTAGGGTTTATTGAAATTATTAAGGGTTCAGGTCCGGGGAAAGTTTCGAGGAGTTTCGAGGGGTCACATGCTCAATTTACTTAAACCTCCTTGCCTGTCCAAGATTTCCTTATAAAAAAAGGCAAGAGGAGGGTCAAGGGCTCACATGCTCAATTTACTTAAACCTCCTTGCCTGCCAAGATACCCTTGCAAAGACAGGGAAGGGGAGGGCGAAAGGGCTCACATGCTCAATTTGCTTAAACCTCCGTGCCTGCCCAAGATACCCTTTGCAAAGAAAGGCAAGAGGAGGCCCAAAGGGCTCACATGCCCAATTTACTTAAACCTCCGTGCCTGCTCAAGATACCCTTGTAAAGAAAGGCAAAAGGAGGGCCAAAGGGCTCACATGCTCAATTTACTCACCCAGGGATTAGGGTCTAGGGCCCCTAAAAGAAGGGGAATCCCAGGATTTGCTCGGACTCGTAATCAAAATGCGATATTTTCGTATTGAAATCGATGGTTTTGGGGGCACCACAAAGACCCTTGAAAGAGGGGGCACCCCAGGATTTGCTCGGATTCGTAATAAAAGGCGATATTTTATAGTACTGAAATTGATGGTTTTGGGGGACCCTCCATTTTGCTCCAAAAGCAAGGGTTGGGGTTTAGGGTGCATAGGGTTTAAGGGTTTAGGGGTTAGGGTTTAGGGTTTGGGGTTTGGGGTTTAGGGTTTAGGGTTTGGGGGGGGGGGGGGGGGGGGGGGGGGGGGGGGTTGGGGGTTTAAGATTTAATTCAGGATTTCGGGTAGGGTTTTGGGTTTTAGGGCTTAGGGCAGCCGATCCTTCGTTGCAGAGTACTTTGGAGGTTCATGGTACTTATTAACCAATTGTATCTGTACTTATTCCTGTACTTATATTAAGGGGCTTATAAGCGAGTCATAAGTACACTTCTAATTGGTTAAGAAGTACCATGGACCTCCAAGTAGGGCCAGTCTATTCTGCTCTGTTGGGGGCGGGTGGGTCTGGGCCCATTCTGGTCGTGCTTCAGAGGGTCTAGGTTTTAGGGTATAGGGCTTAGGGTTTAGGGTTGGGGTTTAGGGCTTAGGGTTGTTTTGTTCGCACCTGGCTACAGGCTTGATTGCAGCCATAGGCTAGCGACTGCAATTCTCCAAATACAGGCGGCGGTCAGTCGCGCTGCGTAGGTGAGCCCAGCTTCCTTTGCGGGGATGGAGATACCGTGTGCCCCAAGTGACGATGATGACCATGCGTCTGCTTTTGCAGTAGGGCAAAGAGTCGTGGTGCATCATCTTGCCTCGCAGTCAGACCTCAATGGGGAGGATGTCGAGCTCCTGGAGTTCTGTACTCACAGAGGTCGGTGGGCCGCAAAGGTGCGAAGCTCTGGGAAAAGAATCTGGATCAGGTCCCAATGCTTGCGGGCAGAAGAGGTGGGAGACTGGCGCCAGGGCCAGCGAGCTACTCTCCGCAACTTAGTCGCCCGGGAGGATCTGAATGGCAGGGAGGTGGAGATTCTCAAGTGGGTACCTAGCTCTGGCCGGTGGGCGGTGCGTGAGTTGCGTTCCGAGGCGCAGATCTGCGTGAGGCCCACGTGTCTTTTGGAGCTTTCCTCACAAGGTTGCTCCAGGGCGCGTGAGAAGGAAGCCGAAGCACATGCGCTGCATGACATCGTTTGCCGCTTGTCCGGTGGCAAACTGGCCTTGGAGCAAAGGCAGGGCCGTGGAAACTGTGTGATTGCCATGGAAAAAGTGAGGCGAGGGACCGTGCTGTTTAGGGAGACACCGTGGCTGAGGATGCCTACTCTTCGCAACGGCGGCGTGAGTATGGCAGCAGTTGCCAGGTTGGCACGGGAAGTACGAGAAGACAACGAGAGATGCAGCCTCTTCGACGCATTGCATGATGGTGGGCTTTGCCGGAGTGAATTCATGGACCGAGCAGACATGGCCGCAGAGGAAGCTGCAAGATCAGTTGTTCCTTTGGACGGGGCCTGGTTGAAACGGTTTTGGCGTGTCTGGAACCTCAACGCTTTCACGTTTCATGGGACCAACATGGCCCTCTTCTTAGGAGGCTCGATGTTCAACCACTCCTGCCACCCAAACGCAATTTATCAAACGATTAGCCACATGCCGGACGCTACATTTCGAGCTATTCAAGATCTCGAGGTGGGTGACGAGGTCACTGTGGATTACACGACGACACAAGACCCTTCATGCGAAGCTCGACATCGCCAGCTTTTCGAGGAGAAGCTATTCGTCTGTGCATGCAACCGATGCTTGCAGCCCGATTGGCCGCGAAGCATATGCTGTCGCAGCAGTGGATGTACTGGAACCGTGGCACCCCCTGACTGGCATTGCTGGGAGTGCAGAAAGAGTTTTCAAGATACCGACATGCCACTGCAGGCAGAGTCGTGGATAAAGGCCCTAGTCTTAGACCATGACGTGCGCCACTCCCAGTACACTCATGAGCACTTTGTGGCAACACTCCTGCTTGCCCTGGACGTCTTGGGCCCTCGCCACTGGACTGTGAAGTTCATGGCCTGCCTACTCCTCGAAAATGCATGTTCCAAGGGTTGTCGCGGTATCTCTTCCATCGGCCCAAGCCTGCTGTGCCTGCCCGTTTCTATTTTATGTGGGCGCAGGACGTGGTGCCGGCAGAGCAAGGAACAACACAGTTTGTGGGCACCATGTATCAGTGTGTCAGAGCATTGCAGACGGTTGGCTTGCGAAAGGAGGCTGCCGCCCTTGCACGCCGCTCTTCAAGCCTCTATTCTGGCGTCTGGGGCGCGGATGATCCAGATGCCGCCTTCTTGCAAGGCATGTCTGACATGGTGCAGGAGGTATCCTCCTTCTTGGACCGTTTTTCATGGGACACTTTGCCCAAGGAGATGTGGCGCCTCTGCACTGTGAGGGATGATGGGCGTCGTGATGATGGCCGCATCTGCCAGGCACACAGAGACTTGAAGCAGGCGCTGGAGGCAGTGCAGGATCCTCTTTCAACATTCCACTTGGCACAGGCTCCCGCGCCAGCGTGGTAGCTGTTGGTAGCATTCGTGACGTGCTTAAATTTCCGGGGCTGGGCCCCGCTGCAGGGTGGGACCTGTCAAGATGTACGTTCGGGAAGCCCACGCGCCTTGCAGGCGCCGGTTGCAGGCGGCTATTGAGGTGCTTGAAGGTCAAGATTTGCCGTGGCAATGCCACGATACCTGTGGCGAATGGCTCTTGAAAACCTTAATCCCTTTAAGCCCTTAATCCGAATCCTCCGCCCCTTACCCTGAGAGAACCCTGCGGTGGCATTCGGCCGGTGATCGTGAACTAAAAGGCGTCGCCAACACATGATCAGCCCAATGTCAGATCCTGGGAACATTCCTGGTATAAACCTCCCCAAGAATTCCCTACCTCTGCGCCATGAACTCTGGAGTGTGAGCCCTATGGCCGCTAATCCCACGACCGTACGTCCCGAGCCCATGGCCCGAAGCCTGCAGTTGAGGTGATGTTGCTCATCGACACGCTGCTCTATGCGGGGTTGGCCTGGTACCTCGACAAGGTGCGCTCAAGGGGATTCCGCGTTTTTCGGCTGAGGGTTGAGGGTTTAGGGTTTAGGGTTTCGGGTTTAGGGTTTAGGGTTTAGGGTTTAGGGCTTAGGGTTTAGGGGTGCAGTGGTTGTCGGGTGTTTGTCGAAAGTTCACCCCAACTCCAAACTCTACACCCTAAACCCTAAGCCCTAAACCCTAAACCCTAAACTCTTTAAGCCCTCGACCCACAAGCTTGGCGCTGCTGTCCGTGGAGGAACCTGGGTGCATAATTCCCCAAACCTTTCCACCACCCAGCAGTTCATCCCCCTGCTCCCTAAATGGGTCTAGGGTTTAGGGTCTAGGGTTTGGGGTTTAGGGTTTAGGCTTTAGGGTTTAGGGTCTAGGGTTTGGGGTTTGAGGTTCAGGGTTATGTTCACCTATGGTACAGTTTATTCGGCGCCTTGTTCTTGCCGGGGGGCCCGAAGATAAAATAGATAGGGTTCCGTGCAGCTACATGGGACACATTGTTGAGCGCTCATTTAGAGAGTTGCGCATCCGAAGGGAGGGAGGACTGTTTGTGCAAAGCCTCAACCCCAAACCCCAAACCCTAAACCACCCTAAACCCTAAAGCCTGAGTCCTAAACCCCAAACCCTGAACCTTCAGGCCTACAGCCTAAACCCTAGTCTCATTCTGGTGGTCAGGTGCTGGTCGTTGGCTTTGGAACCCGCGAGCGTTGGTTCTTCCCCTGCACGCGGCAGTGCTCTGGGTGGTGTTCGGGCAAAGGGCTTAGGGGATCGGAGATCTATAGCCCTACGCCCTAAACCCTAAAACCTCAACCCCTACTAACCCTAACCCCTAAACCCTGAATCCTAAACCCTGAACCCTAAGCCCTAAACCCTAAACCTTAGACCCGAGACCCTAAAACCCTAGCCCGGGTGTGTGTGCAGTACACACCTTTGAGTCGGCGTCTGTTGTTTTTTTTGCTTGGCGCTCCTGGCTTGATCTTGCCTGGGGTCGGTTTGCGGATGGCATCTGGGTTTCAGGTCTGGGGTTTAGGGTTTAGGGTTTGGGGTTTAGGGTTTAGGGTTTAGGGTTTAGGGTTTAGGGTTTAGGGTTTAGGGTTTTGAATTCAGGGTTTTGGGTCAAGGGTTTGGGGGTTTTGGGTTTCGGTCTGGGGGTGTATGCATGAGCTCTTCCCCGTACTCTGCATTCAGTGTTTCTGGCTCTAGGGTGCAGGGTCATGATGCGTTCTTCACTCTAAGCCTAAACCTAAAGCCTAAACCCTAAACCCTAAACCCTAAACCCTAAACCTCAAACCTTAAACCCTTAAGGCCATTGCAAGCGGCTAAGATAGTGCTCCATTTGCACTCCTTAGGTTGGGAAATGGGAGCATGTGCGCGATTTTCGGGCAAATCCTTCGAAGGGAATGAGGGAAGTAGGTACCTTACAGAATCCCTTAACGGGTGTATATTATAGGGGGATATACTGTGCCTAATTACCCCCGTTCCCTCTACTAGGGGCAGGTAAATCCTGAGCCTTCCACATGCCCCCTTCAGAACCTCCACATCCACTCTTGGCTAAGATGCTCGAGGAACTGTAGCTAAAGGCCATGCGGAAATGTGATATAGCGGAACGCAGCCTTGCGAGTCTACGCGCAGCACGCAGCGAGTGATTCAAAGGCAGTTTTCAGCACTGGCCTTTTGGTGATTTGCAGTTCAACCGACAACTTGGCTACAGGTACTGGCAGCCCCGGACGAGTGTCCTCTCTCAGGCCCCCCAGTCTTCCGCACTGCGCTAGAGTCTTGGTCCATGATTTCCTAGGGTTCCTGCTACATCTCCCCAGTGCAAGGCTGAGACTGATCCTGGCACTGCTACGGGGAAACTGTAGGTGTGTAGGTAAGTAAGTGAATAAGTAAGTAAGTGAGTAGGTAAGAAATGAAGTAAGTAAGTGAGTAGGTAAGTAAGTTGCTCTCGGGTGGCGCTACAGTGGTAGGGGGTTGCCTGTCATGTCATGATTCTTACCCCTTCCTTCCACTGGATCGGGCTCCGGCTGTTCCTGATGTGCCTGGACGTCTGCACCAGCGCTGGGACACTAAGTGCCATTCAAGCTCCACACTTTCTCCAACCCTTTTGGGTCCTATGTATAGTACGGCACCGGTACCATACGGACCCAAAAAGCACGCCCGCAGCACCTTAACCCTAAACCCGACACCCCATCCTCTCTAACGCCGTTCACCCTAAACACTAAACCCTAAACCCTAACCCCTAAAACATTAAACCCTATCCTCTCCAAAGCCCTTCAGAAATCCCAAGTCGCACGACAGTCCGAGCTCCAAGACCTCGAGCAGGGCTTTGACGATGCGCAGCCGCCCAGCAGGCCAGCACCCCCTCTTTGGAGGTTCATGGTACTTGTTAACCAATTACAACTGTGCTTATGGGTTTAGGGTTTAGGGTTTAGGGTTTAGGGTTTAGGGCTCCGGGTGTAGGGTAGATTGCTTTGGTACTTAACATGGTTCTAAGTACAGTTATAAGTGCAGCTTTCACTGCTTAGTAGGTGCCTTGAGGCCCCCTAGGGTTGGGGACTTAAGGTCTTAGGGTCTCAGGGTCTCAGGGGCTCAGGGGCTCAGGTCTTAGGGTCTTAAGGTTTTAGGGTCTCAGGGTCTCAGGGTCTCAGGGTCTCAGGGGCTCAGGGTCTCAGGGGCTTAGGGTCTTAGGGTCTTAGGGTCTTAGGGTCTCAGGGGCTCAGGGTCTCAGGGGCTCAGGGGCTTAGGGTCTTAGGGTCTTAGGGTCAATGGGTCTTAGGGTCTTAGGGTCTCAGGGGCTCAGGGGCTCAGGGGCTCAGGGGCTCAGGGGCTCAGGGGCTCAGGGTCTTAGGGTCTTAGGGTCTTAGGGTCTGTCTTAGGGCCTTAGGGCCTAGGGTTCGGGATTTTGGGGCTTCCGGGTTGGGATTTGGGGTTTTAGGGTTTAGGGTTTGGGTTTAGGGTTGAGGGTTGGTTAGGACTCTTCACCAGCTCCCACTTGGGGTTGAGGCTTCTGGGATTCAGGGGTTTTGGGTTTTGAGATTTAGGGCAGGGATGTGAGGGTCGGCAGAAGCCCTAAAAACCTCAACCCGAGAAGCCAGAAACCACAAACTCTGAAGCCCTGGAACCCTCAAACTCTGAAGCTCTGAAACCCTAACACCTTGAAGCCAACAAAAACCAACCCTAAAACCCTGAATCCCAAAAGCCAGGAGCCCTAAAACCCTGAACGCCTAAGCCCTAAGACTCTAAACCCGCGGAAACCCTAAAGCTCTAAACCCTAAACACCTAAGCTCTAAAACCCTAAAATCCTAAGCCCCGAGGCCCTGAAGCCCTAAAACCCTGAAACCCTGAAACACCAGACCCTAAAACCCCGAAAACCCTAAACCCTAAAACCCTAATTAGGACCCTGACAACCCTGAGGCCCTAAAACCCTACGTCCCAAACACGCCTAATCCCTTAAGACCCTGAAACCGTAAAACCCTAAAACCCTAAATCCCCAAAAAACAGAAACCCTAAACCCTAAACCCTAACACCCTAACACCCCAATCCCAATAACAACCAGGAACCCTAAACCCGAAACTCTACACCCCAAACCCTAAAACCCAAACCCTAAACCCCAAAGCCTATAAACCCTAACACGCTAACACCCTAATCCTCTAAAGCGCTAAAACCCTAAACCCCCAAAAGAAGCCAGAACCCCCCCCCCCCCCCCCCCCCCCCCCCCCTAGAGCCCTAAAGCCCTAAAGCCCTAAAGCCCTAAAGCCCTAAAGCCCTAAAGCCCTAAAGCCCTAAAGCCCTAAAGCCCTAAAGCCCTAAAGCCCTAAGCCCTAAAGCCCTAAAGCCCTAAAGCCCTAAAGCCCTAAAGCCCTAAAGCCCTAAAGCCCTAAAGCCCTAAACCCTAAACCCTAAACCCCAAACCCGAAACCCGAAACCCTAAACCCTAAACCCTAAACCCTAAACCCTAAACCCTAAACCCAGCAACCCCCCCTTCCTGGCCAGGCATGAGGCCGTCCCTGTGGAGATGGCGGAGCAGCGGAGCATCCTGGTGCGAGCTTCGGACCGCCAACAAGAGCTTATGTTTTTGTTTAGGGTTTAGGGTTTAGGGTTTAGGGTTTAGGGTTTAGGGTTTAGGGTTTAGGGTTTAGGGTTTAGGGTTTAGGGTTTCGGGTTTCGGGTTTCGGGTTTCGGGTTTCGGGTTTGGGTTTAGTTTATTTTTTTTTGAGAGGGCGTAATGGGTGTTTGGATTTTTTACAGGGGGTGTTCAGGGTTTTGGGCGGTTGTTGGGGTGTTAAAAGCTTTATGGTGTTTGGGGTTCTTTGGGTTTTATAGGATGTTTAGGGTTCTTAGGGCGTTGAGGGCTTCAGGGTTTTGGGTTCTTAGGGTTTCTTATAGTATAGTTTTGGTTCTCGGGGTTTAGGGCTTTGTCTCAGACCGCAGGCCCCCAATTCTAAAGCAGACCATAACCTGAGCCCAAACCCTAGAACCCCAAACTTAAAAGGGAGGTGGCTTCAATGGCCAATATCCCCACTACTCCCTAGATGGCTCCCTGATCTTCCTGCCCCGCCCGGACCCTAGACACCTAAAACCCTAAAACCCTAAAACCCTAAAACCCTAAAACCCTAAAACCCTAAAACCCTAAAACCCTAAAACCCTAAAACCCTAAAACCCTAAAACCCTAAAACCCTAAAACCCTAAAACCCTAAAACCCTAAAACCCGAAAACCCTAAAACCCTAAAACCCTAAAACCCTAAAACCCTAAAACCCTAAAACCCTAAAACCTAAAACCCTAAAACCCTAAACCCTAAAACCCTAAAACCCTAAAACCCCTAAAACCCTAAAACCCTAAAAAAACCCTAAAACCCTAAAACCCTAAAACCCTAACCCTAAAACCCTAAAACCCTAAAACCCTAAAACCCTAAAACCCTAAAACCCTAAAACCCTAAAACCCTAAAACCCTAAAACCCTAAAACCCTAAAACCCTAAAACCCTAAAACCCTAAAACCCTAAAACCCTAAAACCCTGAACCTCCCTATGAGTCCCCCCCCGCTCCCCTCCCGCGAAGGCCCTATCACATGACCCCAAACCCTAGAACCCCAAAGCCCTTGAAGCCCGAAAGGTAGAGCCCTTGGAGCCCAAAACCCCCAGCCTCGCAAAGCCCTGAGCCAGAAGCCCTGGACCCTTGAAAGCATAGGACCCCCAGAGTCAGAGTCTATATTGAAGCAGGGTTTATGTTTCTGTTCTTGGTGAGTGTATATAAGGTTCCCTTCTAATGTTGGTGAGTGTATATACTGGGTGTCCTTTTTCAGGGTACAAGAAATACAAACCCTACTTCATATCATCTCATCCATGAGTCCTATTCTACGGTATCCCAACGTCTTGTGAGCGTCCTGGACGTGCTTCCGTGGCGCTTTGCTGAGAGGACGTTTTGCAGGAGATGTCGTCCTCTCACGGACCCGAACACCGCGCTGCTTCGAACCCTTGCGACAGATATGATGGAGGCGCGCAAGCAGCTGGCGAGCAGGGCGGCTGCGAGAGCACCCTGAAGAGAAGTCGCGGGTTTGGGCGGCAACACGAGATCGTGCTGCATACCAGAGACAGGTCTGGGAGGGTGTGCGGGAATGCCCGTTGCTTTGCATGTGTTTTTGTAGATGCTTGAATGTAGAGTGACTGGGCTTTCACGTACTCGAATCAGAATTCCAGTTTCTATTTGTAAGCACCCCTTGAGCGTCAATTGTCTTTAAGACCCTGTAGAAAATCCTAAAACCCCCTAGACAAAACACCCCCCCCCCCCCCCCAAAAAAAAAAGCAACAACAAAAGGGAAATCTTGCAAGTCTCAATTTCCAAGCCCCTTAAACCCCAAGCCCTAAACCCTAAGCCCCAAACCCTAACCCCAAACCCCTAAACCCCAAGCTTTTGGAGGGTGGCTCAGGAAACCTCTGCAAAGACTTCAAGGCTGCAGATGGCAAAACCATCCACGCGGTATCGCGCCGGAAGGTTTGGGGTCTAGGGTTTGGTGTTTACCGTTTTGGGCTTTGGGGTTTAGGGTTTGGGGTTTGGGGTTTGGGGCTTAGGGTTTAGGGTTCAGGGTTTAAGGTTTGGGGTCCAGGGTGCTAAGGTTTTGGAGTTTAAGATTTTGGGTTTAGGTTTAGGGTTTATTGCTCGTTCGTAGCCATGATGGGATGAGGAGTTTAGGGCTTCAAATGCTGAAGGGTCTCCAACAAACCCCCTAAACCCTAAAACCCTAAACCCCTAACCCCTAAAACCCCTAACCGCAGTGAGAGAGAACGCAACCGCAGCACCCATCACACCTTGAGACCCTAGCTCTCATGTCTTGGTCTAGCCGTTCACACCCTTGGAATCGCATGCCAGGTTAGCCGCTCTCCACCCAATATTCAGACGGCGAATAATAAAGTTCATGCGTTCGTTTCACTCGCTTGTCATTATATCAGCCCGTATTAACCTAGGTGTTCCAGTGAGCGATTCTCACCCTTCACGGGGGACCTTTCACTTCCATACGATTACCACCGTGAGGACAGGAACTCTCTTGACAAGGAAGACCCACCCTCGGGACCCTAAACCCTAAACCCTAAACCCTAAACCCTAAACCCCAAACCCCAAACCCTAAGCCGCCTGTCATTCTGGAACCGAGTGCACACCTCAGAATGACATATTTAAACTTTTGGGATGCTCTTTTTAAGGGTGTTTAGAAGGGCTTTTAAGGGTTTGTAAGGGTTTTTAAGGGGGTTTAAGGGCTTTAGGGTTTTGGGGCTTTTGTGGGATCAAAGGTTTAGGATTTTTACGGGATTCTAGGGTTCTAGGGGTTTTAAGGGTTTAAGGGTTTTAGGGTTCAGGTCTCCGGGTTTAGGTTTTCCCAAACCCTAAACCCTAAACCCTGAACCCTGAACCCTAAACCCTAAACCCTAAACCCTTAACCCTTAACCCTTAACCCTTAACCCTAAGCCGTGTTACAGGTTGTCAAGGGTTATGGCGGCTACGAGTCTTTAAGGGTTTAGGGCCTTCAGGGCGGGACCCTACACCCTAAACCCTAAACCCTAAACCCTGAACCCTGAACCCTGAACCCTGAACCCTGAACCCTGAACCCTGAACCCTGAACCCTGAACCCGAAGTCCAGCGTCAGTCCCTCTGCCGTTAAGACCTATTTAACGAGTAGCCGCCTTGGGGATTTGGGGGCTACACGGGGGCTCAACCCCTCAAACTCCCAAAGACCCCTAGCTGTAAACCCTAAAGCCCTTAATTAGACCCTCAACAGCCTACTGCCCCAACATTGGCATGTTCCCCCTTATGCTAACAGCCCTTATTCGGGATGATAGTATCCCCCCCTCCCCTCCTATTACAATCCCTATTCAGGACTGTGAGGGGCTGAAGCCCTAAAACCCAAAACCCCAAAACCCTAAACCCAATACCCTCAACGACATTTCTTTTGCGGGGGTGGGGGGGGGGCGGGGGCGCGAAGCTTCCACACCCGAACGACCCTGAGATTTCAGCAATTTCGGCCACGGCCCAGGTACGAGATGCCCAGAGCTCAGAGCCTTAGGGGTTTAAGGGTTTGTTTAAGGGGCTAAGGGTTCTTAAGGGTCTTTTAAAGGTTGTTGTTGAGGGTCTTTGAGGGTCTGTAATTTGTAGCAAATGGCTCAAGGGGTTTGAGGATCTGAGGGTTTGAGGGTTCAGGGGCTCAAGGTTTCCATGTTTTTTCACAAAAAAAGGTGCTTGCACGCTTCTGGGCATGGGCTCTACTAGCAGTGCATCGACACCTCAGCTGCGTGCAGAAGGAGTGCGAGGCTTTTTGATCTTGAGGTATGTTGGCGCACGCCAAACCTCACCCCCCCCCTGGCATGGTGGTACGTGTTGGCGCCTATGAGCGTGCCTTCAATCCTCAACCCGAAACCCTAAACCCTAAACCCTTGTAAACCCTCAAAGAGCGGCCCCAGGTGAACATGAACCTGTACAGTGGCCAGATCTTCTGCCTCCTGGGCCACAACGGCGCAGGCGCGTGGACAGGGTTTAGGGTTTAGGGTTTAAGGTTAAGGGTTTAGGGTTTAGGGTTTAGGGTTTAGGGTTAAGGATTTAGGGTTTAGGGTTTAGGGTCTACGGCCAGTGCTCCCATCTTTGCAGGGCAAGCAAACCCGAAGCCCCAAACCCTAAACTCGAAACCCGAAGCCTAAGCCCCAAGCCCTAAACCCTGGAACCGCCCTTTAGGGTTCAGGATTTGGTGTTTGGGGTTTGGGGTTTGGGGTTTAGGGTTCAGGGTTTAGGGTTTGGGGTTTGGGGTTTAGGGTTTAGGGTTTAGGGTTTAGGGCTACTGCGTTCGCCCCGTCAGGCAAGACGACCACCATCAACATGCTCAGCGGCATGTTGCCCGTCTCCTCAGGCGCGCCTTCTTGCTACTGAGCCCCCAAAAAACCAAAGCCCAAAACCAGGGTTTAGGGTTTAGGGTTTAGGGTTTAGGGTTTAGGGTTTAGGGTTGAGGGTTTAGGGTAGTTTAGGGTAAACCCCCCACAACCTTCAACCCTGAAACCCCTGGACCGTTAGCGCCTCAACCTGTGAATCCCGCAGCCCTAAGCCCTGAAACCCTATAAACCCTAAGCCCAACACCCCTGCTACAGCCCTAAACTAAACCTCTTCCTTTCTGGCTGGTTGTTCGTAGGGAGGTACCCGTTACCCTACCCGTTACCCCATATAATCCCTTAAAGGGTATACATAGGGCCCCAATTCCTTCATGCCCTACTAAGAACCAGGAGGTTTTGTAGACTGGAGGCGACGCGATCGTCTACGGGAAGTCCGTCCAGCGGGAGATGCACCAAATCCGACAGATTTTGGGCGCCCCTCGGCTTGAAGGGGTGAGCGCGCTTACAAGGCTCCAGGGCTTAGGGTTTAGGGAGTTTAGGGTATCTTCCACAAGTTTTCCATCGGGTTCGTAGGATTTCGGGGGTGCGTGGGCCAGGGGCTTTGGGGATTGGGGCTTGGAGTGGGTCGCTCGCATTGGCTCGGCTCTTTCTCTGCGGAATGCTGAGCCCTGAAAGCCTGAAGCCACAAGCCTCTGCATAAGAGATTTTGGGTTTAGGGTGCAGGGTTTGGGGGTCAGGGTTTGGGTGTGTAGGGTTTAGGGGAACCTTGGGTCCTTAGGCTCTGCAGCTCCAAAGCCCCCAACCCCCCCCCCCCCCTCCCTCTAAAAATCTCCCTCGTCGTTCACCCAAGGTCTGCCCTCAGCACGACGTCATCTGGTCTGAGCTGACGGTGCGAGAGCACCTCGAGTTCTTCGCCAAAGCGCCGCTCACCCTTGTTGAGGTGGTGAAGGGGAGGTTTTAGGGGGTTGAGGGGTTGAGTTAAGGGGGTTGGGGATTGAGGGTTTAGGGGTTTAGGGCTTTGGGGATTTAGGGGTTTCAGGGTTTAGGGGTTTGGGGGTTTCGGGGTTTAGGGGTTGAAGGTACAGTCTAGGGGGTTAAGGCTTTAGGGTTTAAGGTTAGGGTTTATGTTTAAGATTTTGGGCGGTCAGGGTTTGGGGTTTGGGCTCAGAGTCTAGGGTTTAGGGCCAAACGGTTTAGGATTTAAGGGTCGAGGGTTAAGTGTTTAGGGTTTAGGGTTCAGGGGCTAATCTTTCCAGTCCATCATCTGGAATGGGTCCGCAGAAGCTGTGAGAGTGTCGAGAGAGAATCCCTTTTTTTCAAAAATCGAGCTCTATTTCTCAAGAGAAAGGGAGGATCAGAGAGACCTGCGACCATCGCCCGCCTTGCGCGAGTTCAGTGCTTGATAGCTTCAGGTTCTTGAAGACCAGGTCGCGGCCTTCAGTTCGACATGATTGGCAATTCGTGGTCCAAACCCTAAACCCTAAACCCGTCTAACCCTGGACCCGAAAACCCAACCCCCCCCCCGAAACCCCAATCCCAAAACCCTTTTACCCTAAGACCTGACATCGCAGAGCCGTTTGAGACTCTCTCAGTTTTGCATTTGCGGTTTAGGGTTTAGGGTTTAGGGTTTAGGGTTTAGGGTTTAGGGTTTAGGGTTTAGGGTTTAGGGTTTAGGGTTTAGGGTTTAGGGTTTAGGGTTCAGGTTTAGGGTTTAGGGTTTAGGGTTTAGGGTTTAGGGTTTAGGACTGTTTAGGGTTTCGGGCTAGAAGTTTGGAGCCCGAAGAGCCTTAATTAACCCCTACCTCAACCCCAAACCCTAGAGCTCAAACCCTAAACCCTAAACCCTAAACCCTAAACCCTAAACCCTAAACCCTAAACCCTAAACCCTAAACCATAAACCCGAAACCCGAAACCCGAAACCCTAACCCCCCCCCCCCCCCCCGCCCAACGCCATAGCCAAGGAAAGGGGTCAGTCCGGATCGTCTTGCAAGTGAGGCCAGCACTGTTTTCCCGAGCTATGAGGGCTACGGGGGTTTTAAGATCCAGGGTTCAGGGTTGAGGGTCTTCAGACTGTGCTGATGTGTAGTTGGGGTTTAGGGTTTAGGGCTGGGGTTTAGGGCTAATTACCCCGCAAACGCCTCTTTAAACCTCGAAGCCCTGAGTGGTTTGGGTTGGGAAGATCTTGCTCTGGCACCCTCTCTCTTCGTGGCGGCGGGGCACCAGTCTTCTGTCCCAGTAGTCGGTACTTCTTAGTCCTGCAGGTGCTCAGAAAAGGAGGGCGGGAGGGCGGGGGGCGGAAGAAGAAGTTAGGGACCGAGTGAACATAGGGTTTCGGTTTAGGTTTTGGCTCAGCTCCAGGGTTTCGGGCTCAGGGCTTGTTGTGGTTTAGAGCTTAGGGTTTAGGGAGTCTATGGTGCTTAGGGAGTCTATGGTGTTTAGGCTTTGGGGCTTCGGGAGCCTGAAAGGGTGCCTAGGCCAGGAGGGTTTAGGGTTGAGGGTTGAGGGTTTAGGGTTTAGGGTTTAGGGTTCTATTCAATCTCGGCCCCAAACCTTAGCCTCCCCTGGCGCCGCTGGGTTCGTGTCCCACCCAGTGGGTGGCCCAATTCATGGGGGCCTTGTGGGGCTCTCTTTCAAGTCCTCCAAACAGGGTTTAGGGTTTAGGGTTTAGGGTTTAGGGTTTAGGGTTTAGGGTTTAGGGTGTGCGAAGATGTGTGCCCTTAACGCGAGCAAGCTGTGATTGTGGAGCGGGGTGGTGACAAGGAATGCCCGGCCTCTCCAAATTTCTTCTCCTGTACCCGGAGTTTAGGGTTTAGGGTTTAGGGTTTAGGGTTTAGGGTTGGTGTTCAGATTCCCTGCCGCTGCGGGGGAAGGCGCCCTGGATGCTAAGCCCCAAGCCTGGAACCTTGTGCTTGGAGGTCGATGAGTTGATCCGGGACGTGAATCTCGAAGAGAAAGAGCCGCTGGGGCCAACAGCCCTAAGCCTTAATAGAAGCCTGAAATCCCCAAAGCCCTCAAGGAGCTGCCGCCCCCTTATGAATGAACAATCCCCCCCAAAAAGGTGCCCTCATGGCGACTGGGTTAGTGCAGCACCCACGAAGCAGCTGTGCTGGAAGAGGGCAGCTCTAGCTGTTTGTTGGAGGGTGGGGTGGGGGGGGGGGGGGGGGAAGTTTAGCTTCTTAATTCAAGCTGTACTCTGCTCATGAACAAGTATTCACATACCAACGAAAGCTGCTCTGGTTCCACCAGCGTTTCGTTTTAACCTAGTTGGAGTCATAAACGGAAGACAAAGCAGAACGAGGTCACCCCTTGCTTCCGATTTCCGGCGCGACCCGCGACATAGACGTAAGCGCCGCCCAATCTAGCCTGCGAAGCAGGAGAAAGAAGCCCAAGTGCAACAGCCAGCAATCCCCCCGAACAGAAACCCTAAGCCCTAAGCCCTAAACCCTAAACCCTAAACCCTACTGTAAACCCTAAACATCCCTAAACCCTGAACCCTAAACCTTAAACCCTGAGACCTTCACCCTCAACCCTACCCTGAACCGAAGTTGTGACTCCTCTTCTGCCCGAAGCCAGAAAACCCTCAGCCCCCAAACCGCTCCCTCCCCCCTGAACCCTAAACCCTAAACCTAAACCTTAAACCCTAAACCCTAAATCCTAAACCCTAAACCCTAAACCCTAAACCCTAAACCCTAAACCCTAAACCCCAAACCCTAAACCCTAAACCCCAGGAATGCCTTGGCCGGAACCCTCTCCGGTGGCCAGAAGAGGCGCCTCTCCGCAGCGGCAGCTTGGCTCCGCTGGAAGTGTCCTTCGTGGCTTATAGGGTTTAGGGTTTAGGGTATTTAGTGTTTAGGGTTTAGGGTTTAGGGTGTTTAGGGTATTTAGGGTTTAGGGTTTAGGGTATTTAGGGTTTAGGGTTGTTAAGGTTTAGGGTTTAGGGTTTAGGGTTTAGGGGTTTAGGGTTTAGGGTTTAGGGTTTAGAGCGTGGTTAGAGTTTGGGATTGCCTTTCTGGACCGTTCTTGGAGACGTGCTCGTAAGGTTTTTGTTGGTTTTGTAAGGGAAGGGAAGATAAAGAAGGATGTCTTAAGGCGTCCCGCCATGGACTTAGGGCCTAAAAGCCCGCAAGCTCTGAAACCCAAAGTACTCAAGCACTGACAGCCTAAAACCGGACAACCCCACCCCCCCCTAAACCCTAAACTCTAGACCCTAAACCTTAAACTACAAAACCTTACACCATAGACCCTAAACCCTCAAGCGCAAAACCTTAAACCCTAGACCCTAAGCCCTAAACCCTCAACCCCAACCCCCCACCCACCCCGCCCCCGCATCCTAGAAAATGAACAAGCCCTTCAACAACCCCACCGTTCCTCCCTAAACCCTAAACCTCAAACCCTAAACCCTAAACACCGTTCCTCCCAAATCCAGGTTGCGCTCGGGGGCGGATCCAGGGTCGTCTTCCTGGACGTGCCTTGGCTTTCCAGGCTTAGGGCTCTGTTGTGGCGGTTTAGGGTTTAGGGTTTAAATTTTGGGTTTAGGGTTTAGGGTTCCAGGGTCCAGGGTTTAGGGTTTATTTGGGGTATAGGGTTTATTTATGGTTTAGGGTTTCGGGGTTAGGGCTGTGTGGTTTAGGGTTTAGGGTTTAATTCAAGTTCGGGTTTAGGGTTCCAGGATTTGCATAGGGAGTAGGGTTCCAGGGTTTAGGGTACAAAGCTTTAGGTTTTAGGGTTCCAGGGGTTGGGGTTTGGGGTGGGGCTTAGGGTCTTAGAAGGCGAAAACGGGAGGTTCCGTGTTTTTGGGGCCTACCGGGCCGGTAGGTCTGCAGAGTTCACAGGGGGGCTTTTTGGGGCTGATGGGTCTGTGGGTTTGCAGGGGGTTTGTGTTTTGAAGGGTTTCTATTGGGCGTTTACTGGTTCTTGTAGGGTCTGTTCTCTAAATTATGATCCTGTTTTGGGAACCCTAAATATTAGAGAGATATGAGGGGCCGCCTTAACATAGTAACCCCGACAAGGACCATATTTTAGAGAAGTTGCCCTAGGGTGTGGGGGACTTGACGGGTCTGGGTTCTGCAATTGGAGTGTCTGGGTGATGAGGGTTTGAGTTTGTAGAGGCGGCTTAGAGTTTGGGGGTGGGGGGTGCCACGCAGGGTCTCCGGACTTGGGTTTAGGGTTTAGGGTTTAGGGTTTAGGGTTGAGGGTTGAGGGTTGAGGGTTTAGGGTTCAGGGTTCAGGGTTCAGGGTTGTTAAGGTTTAGGGTTCAGGGTTGAGGGTTCAGGGTTCGGGGTTTAGGGTGTAAGGTTTGGGGGCGAGGTGTGTCTCTAGCCGCAATGCCACCAGGACCCTGTACATCCGGAACCGGAAATCCTCACACTGAAGAAAGCGGCACCCCAAACCCACGAAGCCTTGAGCCCCAAATCCCTAAACCCTAAACCCTAAACCCTAAACCCTAAACCCTAAACCCTACAGCCTAAAGCCTAAAGCCTAAAGCCTAAACCCTAAACCCTAAACCCTAAACCCTAAACCCTAAACCTTAAACCCTAAACCCTGAACCCTAAACCTCCCAAAGGCCCCCAAAGCGCACCCTAGCTTCCCCCAGTCGAAGAACCTAAGGAGCCGTCCTCTGGCGTGGACCCGTACTCCAGAAGACAGCTCTGGGACTGTACAGGGTGGGCTGTGCTTTAGGGGCGTTCGGCCCGAATTGTTGCTGAGGTTCTAGGGTTCCCCGTAAACCCTAAACCCTAAACCCTAAACCTTAAACCCTAGACCCTAAACCCTAAACCCTAAACCCTAAGCCCTGAACCAGGGTTTGGGCTCAGGGACCCCTCTTCCCAGGCCACTTATGTTGCACTCCCCTTGCGCTGTTTTGTCCTCGCGTCAGGGTTTAGTGTGCAGTGTCCAGTGCTTAGTGTTTAGGGTTTCGGGTTTAGGGTTTAGGGTTTTGGCTTAGGGAAGGACATAACTGAGGCTGTACTTATGGAGTCTCTTTTTTCAGGGGCTTATGGGGCTTGGAGTTTCGGAGCAGAGCTGAGTGAATGATGTTTCCGGAACATTGCCTAACGTACATGAACCAGAAGCCGAAAACCCAAAACCCTCAGCCCTAAACCCTAAACCCTAAACCCTAAGCCCTAAGCCCTAAACCCTAAACCCCCAGGCCATCAGGCGGAGGTCTAAATCCCCCCCTAGACCCCAAACCCTAAACTCATCAGCTCATAAGCCCTGGACCGTAAAACCCAACCCTAGACCCTTCCACCGGATACAGAAAGTATCCCGCACACGCTAAACCCTAAACCCTAAACCCTAAACCCTAAACCCTAAACCCTAAACCCTAAACCCTAAACCCTAAACCCTAAACCCTAAACCCTAAACCCTAAGCCCTAAACCCTAGACCCTAAACCCTAAACCCGAAACCCTGAACCCTAAGCCCTAAACCCGAAACCCTGAACCCTAAACTTGTCCTAGCGCTTGGCCATGGAGCGCTGTTGCTGCCTCCGCCCCTGGCGGGCGCGCGAGACCCCTCTGTTGGGTGCGGAGGAAGCCCCTGAAGAGGAGGTGCGGCTGTCAGGGAGGGGGGTTCAGGGTTTAGGGTTTAGGGTTTAGGGTTTAGGGTTTAGGGTTTAGGGCTGGAGTGGGAGTTCCCTGAGTTGCTCAATCGTACCGAACAACTTGTTAAGACCTGCAGTTCAGGGCACCTAAACCCTAAACCCTAAACCCTAAACCTAAACCCTAAACCCTAAACCCTAAACCCTAAACCCTAAACCCGAAACCCTAAACCCTAAACCCTAAACCCTAAACCCTAAACTCTAAACCCTAAACCCGAGCCAAAACTAAGTTCAGACACGAATTCGAGGGGCATGTTCTACGCGAAGTCGTGGGTGTCTGCTCTCTGCAAAGCTCTGGTTTAGGGTTTAGGGTTTAGGGTTTAGGGTTTAGGGTTTAGGTGTTTCGTAAACCTCTGTTCCATGAAGCAATGCTGCCGCTGTGCGCCCTCTGAAACCCAAAAGCACTCGAACCCCGAATCCTTAACCCTGATTCGCAAAAACTCGAAACCCCAAATCCCAAACCCTAAACCCAGACCCCCCCAAACCCCAAACCCTAAGCCCTAAATCAAAAATCCCAAGCCCCAAACCCTAAATTCCAAACCCTAGACCCTAAATCCAAAATCCCAAACCCCAAACCCTAAACCCTAAACCCTCAACCCTAAACCCTAAACCACCAACAAACACCGAACACCCTGGCGCAGGCGTCCCCAGAGGACGCCTCCTGGCCCGTGAGCCGGTCAGGATTCCCAGGGGGCTTTAGGGTTTAGGGTTAAGGGTTTCAAGTTTACGATTAGGGCTCAGGGTTTAGGGGTTTTAGAGGACTTTGGGGGGCTTTAGGGGCTTTGGGGGGGGGGGGGGGGGGGGGGTTAAGGGGCTTTGGGGGTTTTATAGGGTCTTTAGGGGCTTGAGGGGTCTTAGGGGTTGAGGTTCTTTCAGTTAGGGGCAGGGGTTTTAGGTGAGTGTCTAGGAGTTGAGGGGGTTTGTAGGGCTTGGGTTTGAGGCAGAAGACGGCAGTAGTCTTGCAGTCGCTCTTATTTACGTTCAACAGAATCATTAGTTAGATTAGTGAAATTGATTTAACTAATTTAACTTCTTGAATGAATTGAACTACTTAAACTAATTGCGTTTATTTAATTTAAACACATTATGTAATTTGGTTGCAATAAATTGAATTCATTCAACTTGCTGATTAATTGAAGGAATGCAGTTAATTCGAGTAATCAAATTAACAAAAGTAATACGATTAGTTCAACCAATTGCACTAATTCAACTAACTTAAATTAATATACTTAAATCAATTAGGGCCCCATATGAAATCCATGACTTCTGCTTAAAGAGAGAAAAATCTGCTAAGGAAAACCAGACACCTTAACACTTCAAGTCTCACGCCCAGCCTTACGCCCTGCCTCGTAAAGCCGCAGCTGTTCAGTGTACCGGGTTCGGCAGTTGTAGACTGGTCCGTGCGGGCTCCCTGCTCGGAGTCAGGCAGGTCAGACGACGCGTGTTCTCCTGAGCCTCAACCCTAAACATGCAGCCACAGATTCATCTGGTCAGTGGTCCAAATAATACCCTTAACAAACAACGTTGCTGTTGTCGTTGTCAAGCTGAGGGCTTCACTGTAGTTCCTTGACCGCAAAGTGGCCCATCAGCCCAAAGCCAAATGGAGAAGCCAAAACCCCAACGCTGCACACGTCTGTCTGTAGCTCATAACTGGCCTCCAGCCTTCAGACTTCTGCGCGCCAGGCTAGAGCATCTGCTGCACTTGCAGAGCCATGCGCGCAAAGTGAGACGGGGCTCGTTTACATCGCAGACTAGGGTCGTAGTTTCAGCTCTTGTCCGGTCTCGCCGCCGCTGCCAAAACAAGTGTGCGGAGTGATCGAGAAGGTATGTGGGGGGGACAAGACGGTATGTGGGGGGGTTAAGAAGGTATGTTGGGGGGTTAAGAAGGTATGTTGGGGGGTGAAGAAGGTGTGTGGGGGGGGGGGGGGTTAACAAAATATGTGGGGGGGTTAAAAAAATATGTCGGGGGTGGGGAAAATATGTGGGGGAAGGGTTAAAAAAATATGCTACCCAATCAATTAGACAAAGAGAGAAAGAGAGAAAGAGAGAAAGAGAGAAAGAGAGAAAGAGAGAAAGAGAGAAAGCGAGAAAGAGAGAGAAAGAGAGAAAGAGAGAAAGAGAAAAAGAGAGGAAGAGAGAAAGAGAGAAAGAAAGAAAGCGAGAAAGAGAGAAAGAGAGAAAGAGAGAAAGAGAGAAAGAAAGACAGAGAGAAAGAGAGAAAGAGCGAAAGAGAGAAAGAGAGAAAGAGAGAAAACGAGAAAGAGAGAAAGAGAGAAGGAGAGAAAGAGAGAAGGAGAGAAGGAGAGAATGAGAGAAAGAGAGAAAGAGAGAAGGAGAGAAAGAGAGAAAGAGAGAAAGAGAGAAAGAGAGAAGGAGAGAAAGAGAGAAGGAGAGAAAGAGAGAAGGAGAAGGAGAGAAGGAGAGAAAGAGAGAAGGAGAGAAAGAGAGAAGGAGAGAAAGAGAGAAAGAAAGAAAGAGAGAAAGAGAGAAAGAGAGAAAGAGAGAAAGAGAGCAAGCGAGAAAGAGAGAAAGAGAGAAAGAGAGAACGAGAGACAGAGAGAAAGAGAGAAAGAGGGAGAGAGAGAGGGATGCTGGAAGAGGAGCGCTTGAATCGCTGAAAAGAGCATATTTGCAATGAGCCAGAGACTAGAGATAGAAGAGGAGAGAGATAGATAGAGAGAGAGGAGAGGGGGGGAGAGATACAGACAGAGACAGAGACAGAGACAGAGACAGAGACAGATACAGAGACAGAGACAGAGACAGAGACAGAGACAGAGACAGAGACAGAGACAGAGACAGAGACAGAGACAGAGACAGAGACAGAGACAGAGACAGAGACAGAGACAGAGACAGAGACAGAGACCGAGACGAGACAGAGACAGAGACAGAGACAGAGACAGAGACAGAGACAGAGACAGAGACAGAGACAGAGACAGAGACAGAGACAGAGACAGAGACAGAGACAGAGACAGAGACAGAGACAGAGACAGAGAAGTGCAGGATGAGAGCTCGTCTTTGGAAGAGGCATCTGCGCTCTACACTGCAATTGTAGCCATGGCAAAGGTCGTGCCACTGGTCATGCTTTACTTGCATCTGAGCATCCCAGCCCAGACAGTGAGTGTGACGTTTTCTCAGCTCTCACCAACCTTCCTCTCCTAGGTGGTTGCCTTCCTCGCGACGGCATGTCTTCTGGTGCCTGTTCGTGGGATGTTCGTGCCAGTTGGTCTGCTGAAAGATTGCATCGGGCCCATCCCTCCAGAGACCCTGCAGAAACACGAGGATGGTTTCTTCGCCTCTTGGGAGACGCAGGCCCATGACGAAGATGCCGATGGTGAGCAAGTCGAAGGTCAAGGCCGGATTGTCGGAGTGGCCGGGCTGATCACGAAGGGGAAGTTCAGACTCTTGTACTCCGAGACGGCGTGAGGAAGACCTCCTCGAACAGGCTTGGCAGTCTACGTTATCTCCTGCAAACGTCGGTGTCCACGGTGGCGGACATTATCTCCCTGATTAGGGACTTGGCGATGCCGATCAGGAATAAGGAAAAACGACCATTTGAGACAGCCTTCTACTGTCGTAATGCCATGGCAGAAACCGCTTTCAAGAAGCTCAGATTTGTTCGGAATAGCGACTTGGGGCGAGGACGGAAGGTATACATTTTCCAAACCATTTCCTAGCAGTTCTCACTTATGGGTTGGAAGCTTTAACACTTACCACACCCCACCTTAAAAGGCTCGACGCAGCATACTACAGTTTTCTAAGACGGGCAATAGGAACAAAAGAATCTTTTTATTCCAGAACGTCGAACATGGACGTATGGCGTCAGGCAGGGCAACCCATGACGCCATCCCAACACCTCCTCCCAAAACAAAAAGCTTTTCTTGACCCAAATATACCACACCCCAAGAAGTAGCCCGGTTCATAAGGTGGTCTTTTGTTCCGGGTATAGAGACAGAATCCTTACACAGGGCCGTCGTAGAGGTATGCAATTCCCATACTGGATAGAGGCCGTAACTAAACAACATTTCCCCCAGGTCTGGTCTCACCACTCCGCTAGGGTTCAGAAGGCGCATCTTCTTGGACCAAACTTTAAGTGCGTAGAGGTCGCCCAAATCTTGCGGAGTTGCCCCGAGCTGGCGCCAAAGCGCGATAGAACAGACATGGCGCAGGGCAGTAGCAAAAAAAAAACCTTCTCATATCCATATCAACATCCACATCCGTATTGCAAACGTAGATGTGTTTTGTAGATATCCATGCACAGCTGTGTGGACATGGTCAGTCGTCTAAACCATGTCCCGGCAAGTCTCTTTCCCCTGATATTTAGGGTAGCCCTTAACCCTGAAAACCCTAAACCCTAAATGCCAAACGCCGCACACTAACCCTAAACCTTACACCCTATACCCTAAACCGTACTGCCGGGCTTTTGGAAAGTGGTGGAAACCTATTCACCAGCTCGGTCGCAGTGGCTTACAATGCGTGGAAGACGAAAACAACAAGCAACAGCTTGTGGCAATCCTTTTGCCAGACCAACACGCGTAAGGGCCGTAAACCTTCAACCCTAAGCCCTAAGCCCTCAGCCCCAAGCCCTCAGCCCTCAGCCCTCAGCCCTCAGCCCTCAGCCCTCAGCCCTAAACCCTAAACCCTAAACCCTAAACCCTAAACCCTAAACCCTAAACCCTAAACCCTAAACCCTAAACCCTAAACCCTAAACCCTAAACCCTAAACCCCAAGCCCTAAGCCCTAAGCCCTAAACCCTAGCCCTAAACCCCACACCCTAAACCCTAAGCCTAAAACCAGGTTGTTGTTCTTCTGGGCCTTCCCGGTGCTCTGGCGCGGCCCGGAGTGAGATTAGCATGCTTGGGTTCCAGGTTTAAGGTTCAGGGGGTTTAGGGCTTAGGGTTTAGGGGGTTTAGGGTTTGGGTTTAGGGTTTAGGATGTAGGGTTTAGGGTTTAGGGATCATGTCATCGACCTTGTCTGCAGCTGAGGGTCTGGGCTCTTCTTGCTCTTGGATTCGGGTTTGGGACTTATATCTTAAAGTCAACGGATACAGGCTTCAGGCTGCAGGGTTGAGGAAGCCCTCATCCCAATCCCTGAACCCTAAACCCTAAACCCCAAATCCCAACCCCAAACCCCAAACCCTAAACCCTAAACCCCAAACCTTAAACCCTAAGCCCTAAACCCTAAACCCCCAAACCCCAAACCCTAAACCCTAAACCCCAAACCTTAAACCCTAAGCCCTAAACCCCAAACCCCAAACCCTAAACCCCAAACCCCAAACCCTCAGGCGGCTACCGACGTGGACGGACTGACCTGGGTGACCTCCCGCCTGTCCCGGCTGCAGATCGCTGCTTGGCCTCCTGTGGGGGTTCAGGGATTTGGGGGTTTAGGGTTTAGGGTTTAGGGTTTAGGGTTTAGGGTTTAGGGTTTAGGGTTTAGGGTTTAGGGTTTAGGGTTTAGGGTTTAGGGTTTAGGTAAATAACCCTAAACCCTAAGCCCTAAACCAACCCTAAATCCTAATACACCGAAAGCCGTAAACCCTAATACGCCCTAATACACCCGAATAATTACACCGTAATGCACCATCCAATACACCATCGAATGCACCCGAATACACCCTAAACCCTAATACAACCTAAACCTTTTGGGGGTTTGGGCGTTTTTGTGTATTGTGTATAGAAGTCCAGGGCTCAGTCTTATTGTCATGTCTTTTTTTGGGGGGGTTTTGGGTTTGGGGTTTAGGGTTTGGGGTTTATTGTTTAGGGTTTTGGGTTGCTCCAGCACCCTATATCTGACACCCCAAACTCTCAAACCCTAGACCACTTCGAAGAAGATGGCCCTTCGTTTCCTACTCCAGACCCTAAACCCTAAACCTTAAACCCTAAACCCTACACCCTAAACCCAAGCCCCAACCCCTAAACCCTAAACCCTAAACCCTAAACCCTAAACCCTAAACCCTAAACCCTAAACCCTAAACCCTAAACCCTAAACCCTAAACCCTAAACCCTAAACCCTAAACCCTAAACCCTAAACCCTAAACCCCAAACTCGAAAGCGTTTCTTTTTGAAGCCAGAGGCCCCTCGGCGCTTGTGGCGGAGGTCTTGAGCAGCCACTTGGGTGCGAAGGTGCGTTGGCGGCTTCCAGCTCGAGGGAGTTGGGGCTTCTCGGGGGGTGTTGAAGTTTGCCTTTTGTTTGTTAGGGTTTAGGCTTAGGGTTTAGGGTTTAGGGTTTAGGGTTTTTTTGTTGGGGGGGGGGGGGGGGTTGTGTGTTTTTTGGGGTTTAGGGTTTGGTAGGGCTTGGGGCTTTGTGCGACTGCTTAGAGGCTCATTATAAATGGCTTTTGGGGAGGGTGTTTTGGGGACGTCGGCTCCGGTGTTCTGGGGCCGCGTGCGGACCACTGGGGCCATGGAATCCTGTGCCACGGAAGGATGAATACCCGAAACTAGTCCTCAACCCGAAACCCCACCCAAGACCCCAAAACCTAACAACACAGACCCAAGATTTCCCTCAGAAGCCCATCAAAAGACCCCTAAAATTTCCTTTAAAGAAAGCGAAAACACTCAGAAAACACCCAACTTGGCTTCAAGAACCCCTCCTAAATTTCCTTAAAAGAAAGCTCACCCCAACAGAATCCCTCGAACCCTGAACCCTAACCCTAAACCCAAAGACCTAAACCCAAAACCCAATTTGCCTTTGAAAGCCCCTGCCCAACAAAATCTCTCAGACCAGGCTTTGACCTACCCCAATCCCTAATCCCCAAACCCCAAACCCCAAACCCTAAACCCCAAATCCTAAACCCTCAACCCTCAACCCTCAACCCTAAATCCCAAACCCCAAAGAGGCCCTCAGACCAGGCTTCGACCTCCCCGTTGAGGGCAGCGGCCCGGGGCGGCCCGGGCTCCCGCCGCTGGTGCGGCGCCTCTTCCAGGCCCTGATTTCGAAGGGTTTAGGGTTTTGGGTTCAGGGTTGAAGGTTTAGGGTTTTGGGGTTTGGGGTGTAGGTTTTTTTGGTTGTGGGGTTTAGGGTTTAGGGTGTAGGAAACCCTCAAGCCTTCAGCCCGAAACCCCAACCGCCCTGAGATAGGCTACAAGAGCCTTAAGCGTTGTGTTATCAGAGTCACAAGCACCCACAGCCAAATCTCCCAACCTCAACGCCCCCAAAGCTCCGGCAATCCCTGAGCCCCAAACCCTATATAAGCCCTAAGTCCTAAACCCTGGGTTTAGGGTTTAGGGTTTCGGGCTTAGGGCCTAGAGTTTAGGGTTTAGGCTTAAGGGCAAACCCCCAAATCAGGTGACGTGGCCGGTCTTCTTTCAAGGGAGCGTCTGCCAGGCGGGTCTGACCTCCCAGCCTCTGAAGCCCTTTATCTTAGGGGTTAGGTAGGGATCGTGTTGTTTCCGAAACTGGGGATACCTTTTTGGGGTCCTTATTAAAAAAGGAATCCTATTATTTGGGGGTCTATATTCAGGGCCCCCTGTTTTCGTAAACCCCCCTTAGTTTTGGGGGCTTTCGATTTCTTAGTTCAGGGTCTATGGGGTGTAGGGTTACAAAGAGGGTCCCTAAGCCCTGAGCCCTAAACCCTAAACCCTAAACCCTAAACCCTAAACCCTAAACCCTAAACCCTACTATTTGGGTCGTGGGTTGCAGGATCGCATATTCCCACCCCCCCCTCCTCCCCAAGCTCGCGTCTCTCCGCAGGCGCTCTTGCAGGTCTTCTCGTACCTGCGCCTGGGTGAAACTGGCGATGTCGGTCTAGGGTTTAGGGTTTAAGGTTGAATTTAGGGTTCAGGGGTTTGTTGCCCTCCAAGCCCCTCAACGCCCAACACCCCGGAACCCTAAACCAAAAGCCCTCTTCCTTGAACCCGAAACCCTAAACCGGAAGCCCGAAACCCTAAACCGGAAAAAGGAAACCCTGAACCCGAAACCCAAGCACCAGAAGCCCTAACCTGCGGAACCCAGGCAGCCTATTCTACTCCACGGCCTGCTGCAAAGCCTCAGTTTGCCGGAGGACCCATCTGTCAGATGTTCAAGGTTGTACCCTTCAGGGTTTAGGGCCTAGGGCTAGGGTTTAGGGTTTAGGGTTTAGGCTTCAGGGTTCAGGGTTCAGGGTTTGGGGGGAAGGGAACACAAGGGGCAATCCTTTTGGCGCGGTACCCTTTTCCCTGGTCTTCCCTTATACAGTAACCAACCCCAAAGAAGGAGACCTTTATTGTAACATGGTTACTGAGCTACCAAGTCAAGGCTACGATTTCCCTTTCGGATTGGGTTGAGGGTTTAGGGTTTGGGGTTTAGGGTTTGGGGTTTAGGGTTTGGGGTTTAGGGTTTAGGGTTTAGGGTTTAGGGTTTAGGGTTTAGGGTTTAGGGTTTAGGGCTTAGGGTTTAGGGTTTAGGATGGCGGCCGAGGGGTTGAAACTTTCGTGGGTGTTAGGGC